CTTGATTTATATAATTTAGGTGGGTGGGGGGCAGACACAGTCTCTATGGGGTACTGGGAGCGTTGGGTGGGTAGCAGCTGCAAGGAGACAGCAGAGAGGCGTGTAAGACTGTGACCCTGCATCCTGGACTCAACTCTGGGTTGTCATAATTTAGGTTGTAAAACAAACTCGTCCAGATTTCTAGATAAGAGAGCCGCACCACCCAAAGTGGGATGGATGCCGTCTCTGCTAATCAGACCAGGTTTTCCCCAAAATGTTTTCCAGTTGTCTATGAAGCCCACGTTATTTTCTGGGCACCACCTAGACAGCCAGCGGTTGAATGACGACATGCGGCTAAACATGTCATCACTGGTCACATTGGGTAGGGGTCCAGAGAAAACTACGGAGTCCGACATTGTTTTAGCGAAGTTACACACCGACTCAACATTAATTTTGATTTTGACTGGCGAAGTCGGGAGTCATTAGTGCTGATGTGAATAACAACCTTACTGTATTTACGCTTATCCTTAGTCAGCAGCTTCAAATAGGATTCAATGTCGCCCGCTCTGGCCCCAGGAAAACATTTGACTATGGCCGCCGGTGTCTCTAGCTTCACGTTTCTGACTATGGAGTCTCCAATTACCAGAGTTGTTTTCTCAGCGGGTGTGTCGCTGAGTGGGGAAAATCGATTTGAAACGTGAACAGGCAGGTGATGCTCCGTGGACATTCGTTTGGAGCTACGACTCTTGCGAACTGTCACCCAGCCACCTGTCTGAGATCCCGGCTGCTCGGGAAGCTGTGGGGGGTGATTACCGCAGAGTCAGGAAACAGCAGTCCGTCAACTTTCCGCCTGCGAGCTGAGCTCGTGAAGTCAGTAACTGAAATGCTAACATTGACAGCACTATGCCTCTGAGAGTCTGGAAGACCTTTCACTTTTAATCTGATGAGCTCCTTCAGTTCTGAGCGACTGTTTCTCAGGTGAAAGGTGAAACATCTTGAAATTCATCAAACAAGTCCTGTTGTCAGCTTTAGCACACACAGGTGTGAGTCAGCATTTCACATCATCTCAGCATCAGTGATGGTCCAGTTTGGCTACAGTTGTAGTAAAGATGTAGTTCATTTTAATATTTGTCAAATAAATCAGTAAATATTTTAAGAGTTATCAGTTCTTATTGATATTCATTGGCTATGTGTTGGCTAATTGCCATCCAAGCCTGTTGGCTTTTCAACCCGTGTGCAGTAGATCAGGTGAGTTTCTGTCATTAAAAAGTGTGAAAAGGATCATCATCTGTGGTTTGACAGTGTTGAATATTAAGTTGTTTGAGACATTGTAACTGAAGCACCAGCACCGTTTTCTATGCACTTATAAGGAATATAACTTTCACTCAGATTAAAGCATCAGCACTGTTTTATATAAATGTACTAATAAGAAATGTAACCTTCAATTCAGCAGTGTGTGTGCTCACTTAATCACAGAATGTACTTTGGTATTAAGGAATTGTGCTTGGAACAGCTCTGATGCAGGGGAGTTATTTTTGGGGAACTAATGATAAATTCCAGCTGCATAATAAAGAATGTGTGTGACTGAAATTCTTTCCACTATCTGGACTCGAGAAGGAGTCTGGGACTTCACAACAGGCTCAGAACACAAACAAGAGTTTATTTCCTACTTCTGGCAGTCATTTACTTATCCACTGCTCACTCTTGGTCCAGAGGTCACTGCCGTGGTATATCAATTTATTCATCTGTAGAATAGCGTGTTTCCCTTTCTGACCGTTGTCCGTGTGCAGTGAGTGTGCGACCTCTCTCTCCATGGCAGCCATGAAGGAGTTTCTGAAAAAGAAGAAGATCATTGTGAGTATCGATTCTCGTGGTGAGTTTTGATGCAGAGTCAGAGACGTTTACATGTGTTTGATGCTGAATAAAATACTGCAGAATACAGGATATGCCCCGGTAGGTGGATTTTTATTCATCTTTAGACATTTCGCTGAGGACGCTGCTCTTTAATCAGGAGCTCCTGCTCCTCATCTTAATCTGGGTTTAGTAAACCCAGAAGGCCCTTCAGTTAATGCTGCATAATAATTGGTGTTTGCAGCTGGATGTAACTTATTTTTAATAAGTCAGAGGGGATGTTATAAATTCCTCCCAGAAAAGATGGCAGACAGGTCTCTCTTTAGCCAGATCTATATATACAGCTTGATATCACAATAGGGTGTATTGTTATATACAATACATTTTCTGGAAAATCAGTAGCGAAACTGTTGATGCACAAATTAAGGAACTTTGCCACATTAATGCAAAAAATCATGTTGATAGCAGTCTGTCAAATCCGGACTGTGTGCACTTAGTTACTACTGCCTTACATACATAAGGCCATGCACATGCACATTGCAAATTCCTTGTGTGTCCAACACACCTGGCCACTAAAGCTGATTCTGATTCTGAAAATCTAACTTTTTTTGTTACCATATACAGTCCTGTACCTTAAAGAGTAACAACACTTTTTGCAGCAGAGCCTGCACCCTAGTACCTAACACACAAAGTTTCTAAACTAATTTTTAACAAATGATTACACAGCCTGCACTGCGGAACAATTCTCATCATGCACATTTGCAGCATTTTTGAAAGCTGCTGCTTATTTGATTTGTTCAGAAGACACTGGATGCCTGCAATGCAGTTCAGCAACCAACACCAAAATGCGGGACAGTTATCAATTATTGAGCTAAGATTTCAGACCAATCGCTAAGTTGTCTTTTGAAAGACTTTTATGAAAAACATCTTGGTAACAAACATGTGAAAATAATCTGATCTTACTTTGGTCAGTGGAAACAGATATTTAGTGGATAAAGTTATTTAATCAAAATCAAAGCCTTTCACAGTCCAATAATTTAGGCAAATGTACAGCTTAGCCTTAAATCACATATCAGACAGAGAAATGTGTAGGACAGTTGTAAAATGAATAATACTGAACAAATATGCAACAGCCATTCCTTTGTGGCCACACTGTAAATAGTTTTGTTGCGCTTGATCAGCTAGAGATGGACTTAGATCAACACTACACCTTCAAAATAACCACCATTTATTGGTTATAAGAGCAACAGAAACTAGCAGTGACATGTTCTGACTGCACAGTTATGTGAAAGATGTTGCAGGCAGGCTGCATTCCACTGGCACAGGTCATGTACTATTCTTACTGTAATTATTGTGGCTGCCAGGGGACACCACTGTGTCTCCACTGGAAATTTCTGTTCCTTTGGTTGTTTGTGTGTGTGGTGCACAAACACTGTTGGCTGCGCCTCAGAGAGAAAAGAGGGTGTGTTTGGTTATCAAACCTGTCTCATCTTGTAAGGTAAGAATTTACTGACAGCTTCACATCACACTTTAATCTGCACATAAAAATCTGTTTTTGTGTGTGTGCTGTTTTTGTTTTTGTGCAACAGATCGGCATCTTGGCTGTGTCGATTGTAACCATAATTCTTGGTCTCGGACTTGGTCTTGGACTTGACTTGCAGAAATGCCAAAACAAAGGTGTTGTCAGACACACAACATGAACACATATACAGTATGTCTCTGCACACTCACATACTTCACAAACCTTTTTATTGAGCGGAGGTAAACAGTTTTTCCTGTCCTCAAACAGTCTTGTTTAGACTAATTTCACAGCAACACTTAATGTTGACTGCAACATTTGTTTGCCATGTGCTTTGCCTATGTGCCCCTTTTCATACTTGGCCAGCCGGCCAAGATGTGGGTTCTATTTCTGAAGTGGCCAAATTAAATATGTGCTCTCTCTGAGGATGCGTGATGATGGAGAGTTTCATGCCCAAGAAATTAACATGAAAATTGTTTACAAATCAGTTTAAAGCTACTCTGTCTTATTTCAGCCTTGAGCATCTAGCGAGACTCAAGACAAACTGACACCAAATATGGGACAAACAGATACGAGGACAGCCTGAAAACATAAGGCAACAAAAGATGGGATTTCTTTTGCAGGGTGGCATGGTGGACAGTGGTTAAGAAGGTTCTGGGTTCAAGCCCCGGCCAACTCGGAGCCTTCTTGTGTGGAGTGTGCTTGTTCTCCCTGTGTCTGTCTGGGTTCTCTCCGAGTACTCCGGCTTCCTCACACAGTCCAAAGACATGCAGCTTAGGTTGACTGGTGACTCTAAATTGCCCGTGAGTGTGGGAGTGAGTGTGGTTGTTTGTCTACATGTCAGCCCTGTTTTATTTTTGCATTGAATCTATTTTATTTTAGTTATTTATCATGATTTTATTCTGCCTGTGTAAAGTACTTTGGTCAGCTGGATGTTGTTTTTAAAGTGCTATATAAATAAATTTGATTTGATTTGATTTGAGCCCTGTGAGGGTGGACCCCTCCTCTCACCCAGTGTGAGCTGGGACTGGTTCCGACCCCTACCCCCAGCTACCCTGTTCAGATGTATACACGATGGATGGATTTGTTTTGAGATGTAGTGGTTTCATAATGCTGCCACTAGATGTAACAAATGAGCCGTATTGTATTAATCACTAAACTTCCCAAAGTGTCTTAACCAAGGAAAACACCTATTTTCTATTGTTGTCACAAATAGCCACAAACATTTGATCCTTAACTTTGTTTTGTTCTGCTGAGCGGCAAACAAAACGCTATTTGAGTAGCCTTCTCAAATTTCCTGAAGATCAACATTCGTTAGAGATGACAGTGTCATGGGTCATTCTCACATACTTTTGTAAGTTGGAAAAACCTTGACACCATCATGTGCCACAGTAGGAGAGAGGAGAAGTGTTTGGTTCAGCGTCAGCCGTTTGTGTTCAGAGGTTTACTAAGCAATCGTGAAAAACACATCACACGGAAAAATGTGATGCTTAGTGGGTTGTTTCAGTCCATGTGCTTTGATTAGCAGTTGTGAGTCAAGTGAGGTCCTGGCCTCCTGTTTCCACATAAGGCCTGAAGTTTTGGCTCTGCGTTGTGCTCCGTTTCTGAGCTGTCCCTGGTAGGGTAATGGTTAAGGCACAGCACTCTTGCTACAGCCTGGGTTCAAGTCAGGGTTTCATCAGGAAGAGCATTCAGCATAAAATGTGCACCAAATGTCAACATGCAAGTCGTCAGTGTGGCAATTCACTGTGGTGACCCCTAATGGGAAAAGCTGAAAGTGACATCGTGCTACATTTCTGGAAGACTCAACAAGTGGCAAGATTCAGATAGGCATTTCTTTGCTCTTCTAAGCACAGGCCTCAAAGATAAGCCCCCTCTTTTTTTTACATTCGTATGTCCTGCGTCAAAGCTGATTAATGTTTCACTTGCTGCATGCCTAGTCCTTATCTGGTTTTCTAAACATTGGGATGAGATTAACTGCATGGTTAAGGAAAGCCCCTGGGTTCAGTTAAAAAACTGTCAATAAAAGGTACAACAGCACACAGGGGACACAGTCTCTGGTTGTCCCAAGTGCTTCTAATTTTCTATGCTTCATAAACATTAGACTTTAATGGCCACTAAATGTTAGCTTGCAGATCCACACTCCAGTCCAGTTGGTGGTGGTAAGGCACCGTTTTTTTGTTTGACAAACACCTTAAAACTCCAAGAACAATAACACCAAGGCAGCCATTGGGCTGCAATATGAAGACCACTGGCATGTCACAGTTTTACAGTTCTTATTGTGACATTACTACATTTTACGCTGTGGACCAGTGATGCTATTTTCATGTGAAACTGGGCTGGCGTTTCATGTGTGATGGATCTCATGGTCATGCTGTCCCTTAAATTTTGGGAAACTTAAATTTTCTACTTCTTGCCAATATACTGTGTCATATTCTGTATGTCAGAGTTTACAAGACCTGCTTTATCATCTTGAATAGTGTTATTGCTTCCTTCTGTAGTGAGTCACACCTTGTGACACATGAGAATCTCTCTTCACATCACGAGTTGTTTGACTTGAAATGTGACTATATGAGCATTTCTCGTATGACAGGCGCACATACAGTGAAAGGCTCTGACTTCCCCCACAGAGGGAGAAACAATAACTCAAGTGATTCTTATGATTTTGAATGTCTGAAATTTTAGTTAAAGAAAAATCAAAATATTGCGAGGGTTTTAATAACTCTAAAAATAGTCTGAGCTATTTGGGCAACCTTAAATCTATATAAAAATAAATGTTTTGCAAAAATGTATTAATGTCCAAGTGAAGCTATAACCATAAAACGTATTTTAAAATCCTTGTATTTAGATAAAATAATCATTATTCTGAGAAAAAGTCATAGAGCTGCAGTTTTGTGAAAGATGACAGTATTTCATAAAAAGAGTTGTAATATTTAAAGAATATTCAAGTTCCTTTATTCAGTGTTTTATACATTTTTAATACATCTAAGTTGTCAGAATGTCATGATGATGAAGTAGGTTACAGTATATAAAAAATAAAATCTTCAGAGCGCATTACACATTTAATAAAACTTTAGCATCTATATATACTGTATGTAACAATAAATTATTACCATTACAAGATCAAAACGGTTGCTGAGAAAATCAGGGCTTATGTTCTTTGGTATAGGTTGGGCTGTTACTGAGCTCAGTTACACAAACATGTTTGGTGATAAGTGGTGTTGACTAACCTGACAGCAACTGCTGTGAGTCAGTGTGTCTCCCCTTCAGTCATAAATTAAACAAACAGCAACTTCAGACAAATAACCAAGCCCAAGTTGACAGTATCAGAATGTCCCGCAGGCCACCAATACCCAGGGGAGGGAAATACTCTCTTCTGCATCACTGGATTTAGACTGGTTTAACACCATGTGTTTATAGTATGACAACTTTAATATAGCACCACTGGACACACATTTCCACTATATTCCCAAATATTCATTATTGAGGCCAAATGTGGATTAATCCACCACTGAAAATAGTCCCCAGCAAGGCACTATTTTCTTCTGTTTAAGTAAAGTGTGCTGCCTGCAGTAAATTAAATGTGAATCCATGTTTTTAAAGACTTTTGTCTTAGCCACTGGGCTTGGAGAGCCACAGACAGGGTAGAGAAGTTAGAAACCACTGAGAGCTGAACTAACACTTTGGGTCTTCTTGTGGGATTTCTGGACAATTAGAAGGAAAAAAACTGAATACAAGCTTTATTCTTTGCTGACCAATAAGAACAATAGTAGATTTGACAGGTGATGTCTCACTTAACCACATTTGAGTGTGTCCTGGAGCGTGACTGAAGTAGATCCCTACAGGCTAGCAGTAGCTAGCATGCTAACTGCTAGGTAGAGCTAATATAGCACAAAGTATAGGGAGAGTGTGGACAGGAATATAATGGCCATTGTAACACCATATCTGTTGCATTTATCCCTCACACATCCTGCAGATATCGGTGCTACGAGCCCTATGACAGCGAGATCCCCGGCTGCAGATGTGACGAGAACTGTATTACCAGTAACAGCTGCTGCTACGACTACCATGCCATCTGCACCACCCCAAGTACGACACTGTTTCTGACCTCTGCCCTTCAGTTTAGTTTCTGTAACAATGGTCGTCTCCAATGCAGTGATCTGGAGACAAGCAGATGTAGCAATCACCTCTCATGTTATTATACTGTCATATTATTCCATCTGTGTCTTTTCATATTCGGTGGGATAATTGTTTGTTTCAGCTGAGCAGTGGGGATGCACAAAGCTACGCTGTGGAGAGAAGAGGCTGACGCAGAGCAAATGCCACTGCTCCGATGACTGTGTCGCTGCAGGAGACTGCTGCACAAACTACAAACATGTGTGCCACGGTGAGAATTTAAAGAAATCTCAAGCAAGATGTGGTTAAGTAAGGGCTTTTTTTCCATTGATGCACATTTAATGTCTGGCACTTGCTCTGACTGTGTCCACAAAAGCTTTTAAAATCTTTTAGACCAAAAACTTTTTGCTGGAGGTGAGATATCATCCTGAAGTCCCTCTGAATGATTGAAATGAGAATACAAAAAACTGACCTAGACATCATGTGATGTACATGTTTGTCTGTGCACATTTATATCTTGAAACTAACTCTATCACTGATGTTCTCCACCCTGCTGTAGGAGAGAGACAGTGGGTGGAGGAGGAGTGTGAGGACCTGTCAGCCCCCACATGTCCAGCAAGGTCAGCTATTTTCAAATGATGACATGTAAAATAACATGAAGTTCCCAGTTTTGCCAAATGATTATAATAATTTGTGGTAGAAGACACAGCTATCTACATTTCACAGTTGGTGTGTGTCGACTCCATCATTCATCTTGTTGTTTTAAATGCAGTAACTCTAGCTAAACTCTGCTTCTATATCTGTCTGTACATGTCTGTTCTCTACCTGGATTAATGCTTTTTGTCATAGCTTTAAGCAGCAGCCGCTGCTCCTCATCTCTCTGGACGGACTGAGAGCTGAGTACCTGCAGACGTGGAGCACTCTTGTCCCTGTGCTGAACAAACTGAGTTAGTGTTCACCTCATTAAGCTTGCTTGCCCATCTTGATTCCCTGAGGGCCAAAAAGATGAGATACTAGTTGCTCTTATGCACATATGGTAGATTTCTAACACAGCCGTTCACTTTGAGAAACCCCGGGGTTCATTAAAGAAGGAAAAAGAAATAAATTTGCCCCCGCCCCCCCATCTTACACACGCACACAGATTCCTTGCCTTTTGTACTGCTTGTGAGTGATTCCAAGTGAAATGATAATATTTTGATTTCCTGACAAACACTTTGAGATATTTATAAACTAATGAAGCTTTTTTGGATGAGAGAACAAAACCTCTTGAAGACCAAACAAGTCCAACTGTGTTTGAACTGTGAATTCTATTAACGCAGGTGAGATCTGGACTTTGCGCTTTACACAGCATTTATGGTTACATATTTCTGTCGACTGTTTTCTAAACACCATCCATTTAAATGTGTGGTCCATTAAATACAATTTGTACTATTTTTGATGAGGATTCAAAAGCGTGTGTGTGTTTACTGTGAGTCACCCTTATGAATTTACGTAGCTGCATGCAGGGCAGTGATACTCACACTGTCACTGTGAAGAAGCCTTTATTGGATGCAATGTTTTCCAGCACAGTGCTCCCTAATCTGGTTTGTATCATGTCCTCTACATCACAGAGAAGTGTGGAACCTCAGCTCCGTACATGCAGGCAGCATTTCCCAGCAAGACTTTCCCCAATCACTACACTATTGTTACGGTAAAGACACCAGACAGCCACCCTACTGCACATGCATGCAGTCATACACATATGCAGAAACAGACCATGTACAGTGGACATGCTTGTATGCATATTTCACACTTACGATATGTAGCAGCTCTTGTTGAAAACTCCCACTCTTTGGCGAGTTTCACGTTTTCAAGAACACTCCCTGGCCTCTTACCTTATAAGCAGACATACTGCTGTTCATTTCAGACTGCAGGTAAAAGCTTTAACTGTTGTTACAGATTTTCTTGTGCAGAGCCGCCACTCTGATTTGTGTTGCTGCTTTTGTGTTCCCACACCCTAAAGGATGCTCTTTTTTAGCCATGTTAGCAGTGTGGCTTTAGAAAATGCGACATCAGTCTGTCAGATGGTCCAGGATGAATCCTAACCACTCAGGACCTATAGCATCATTGACGAAACCTGTAGTGAAAGATCTTGGGGTGATGTTTGATAAAGAGATTAGCTCATTTGTGTTTTTTCCAAATGTGATTTCTGAATAAAGTGAAGTCTCTTTTTTCTCTAAATGACTTTTAAATTGCTATAATTGTCAGCTCTAGGCTTGACGACTGTAATTTGCTGTACTCTGGAGTCAGGCGATTTCCTCTTTCCAGAATGGTGCTGCTCACATTTTGACGATGAGGGTATAAACCCTATAGAGGCCTCCCTTCACTGGCTTCCAGTTTTGCTTTAGAATTGAGTTCAAGTTGCTGATTTTAGTTCTCAAGGCTTTAAATAGCCTGGCACCTCAGTACCTCAGTGATCTCATATGATGGCACACACACACACACACCAGTTAGATCTCTTAGATCACTGAGTATGTACAGTATTTACTAGAGGTACCAAGGTCTTGCTTGTTAGATCTGTTACACAAATCTTTGCTTAAGACTTATTTTCTAGGGCTTCTGACAACTAATGGAGTTTGATACTTTTACCAGTGTTTGCTTTTATTATTATTTTCTTCAGATTTGACATGTTTTAGCTCTGCTTCCTTTATTTTATTTGTGTAAAGTACTTTGGTCAATGAGGTGCTGTTTTAAAGAGCCATATAAATAAATGTTTGATTTGATTTTTGTGATCCCATGACTTTTCTCTAAACCCACCATTTGATATTTCTGGTTTAGGATGAAATTACTCAAATTTCCATCTTGAGCCAATATCAGGTTCAGGTTTGTTCAGTACTTTGGCCAATTCTCAGGAAATCTAGTGACACTCCTATCAGTTTTGATCATACATTTTCTAACATGGAAAACTTTACAGCTGTGAACTTTTAGCATGTTTGATTGCTGCTGTTAGCATGTTAACGCACAGAGCTGCAGTCTTGTTGCTTTGATGCAACACATCAGTCATGACACTGAACCAAAAGGCATTCTAGTGAAACATAGTGTTTGTGTTGAAATGTGGTTCTGGAGCTATTTCAGAGCTCATTTTGGCAGCTGTTTTAGGCTGAGCAAGACAAGATAAAGCAGTTTTATCGGAAGTGAGACAATAGCAGCTACAGTACAGACAAGGTTTACACCCAGTGCGAAACATCTTTTGACCCTTTGCTTTTTTTAATACACACACAAGCTGTGGCAGGCGGTATTGCTTATCTAGCAAGTATGCAAGTGTCCTATGACAGACACATGGCTCACTCATTCATTCATTGATTTATTCAAGTATCAGCGTAATTTCAGTTAGTACTGATAAATCCAAGGTGCTTATGTGAGATGAATCAACACTGATATATCCATCCTGAGTCATCTCTTGCACTTTCACTGACTTATTTCATAGACAATTGGTTTCTGTCTACAGTAAATAACTGTCACACATACTTCTCTCCTCTCCTCTCAGGGTCTCTATCCAGAGTCCAATGGTTTGATTGACAACACTATGTATGACCCAGTGTTTGACACCACCTTCAGTCTGTCCAGTCCAGAGAAAGAGAACCCTGACTGGTACCTTGGTCAGCCTGTGAGTCCTGCTGGGTTTGATACATGGAAATTAAATGAGCTTCAACAAGGGCAAAGGAAATGAAATAACAGAATTTCAAGCAGTTCTATGCACGTCTGTGTGACCCATAGTAAAGTGATCATATGTCCTGTTTGTGTGTGCAGGTCTGGCACACAGCAAAGTACCAGGGACTGAAGTCTGGCACCTTTTTCTGGCCAGGATCAGATGTCAAAATCAACGGTAGTTTTCCCAACATCTTTAAACATTACAACGGGTAAGACTGTGATTTATTTTTTTCAAAAACATGCTAGTGAATGAATGTGGGTTTTGAGGTATCACATATGTCTACAGCCCTAATTGTGCACCATCACCAAACCACAGTCAGTCAATCTCCCACACAGTATACATTAGTCAGGGGCTTGTACTTATTTCTTTAGAATTACAGCTAGTGAGGTGGACCCAGGTAAAGCCAGATGCAGGCACAGACCAGGGGGCAGGAAGAAAGTGAAACTAGGGGAGTTAAAGGGTAAAGGGTCTGAGAAAGTTAATGGGCTGGTGGCCTAAGGCAGAAGCGGAGTGATGGATGTTCTAACAGGAGATGAGAACCTGAGATGGTAGCTGAGATGCAGGCTGAAGTTCACTGATTGGTTCAGACGGCTGGTCTAGTCAGTAGTGGAATCAGAGCTGATGAGGCTGTAGCATACAGAGAACCAGAAGAAGACTGGGGAAACTGGCAGCAGGTTTAAACAGTTGGCCAGAACCATGATGCAGCAGTGTGGTTGCAACAGAGCACAGTATAAGTGGCTTCTTGATAATGGAATGAGATGCAGCTGGTGCAGTGCTGCTCCAGCTCCAACACACCAGTCTCCACTCCTACAGTCAAACAGACAGACACACAGCAGAAGGAGAGAGACAATACTAGAGGCAGGTCAGGCTGATCCAGAATGGAATGACAGTGGTTACAGAAGCTGATGTGTCAATGTCAGTATAGCAACAAATTTTGCAGAGTTGCTGCAGTAATGCTACAAGTTGAGCTGCTGCTGCAGTATCAAGGTGGCTGCTCAGGTCAGGTGTGTTTCCTCTTTGTCTATGCTGTACTATAGCTCCACAATCAATGAAGACTCATTATCCAGAGTGCAAAGAGCTCAGACTGAATTTTTTGATTCAATTTAATTCAATTCAATTCAACTTTATTTGTATAGCACCAAATAACAAAAGTAATCTCAGGACACCCTACAAAGTCAGGTCTAGAATTTACTATTATTATCATTATAGACAATGAAACACTGGGCAGGTCGATGTGACCGGTGACTGCTTATCAGAAACATAGAGCTCCAGAACCAGGGCAACCTGCAGAAAGGTACAGGGAGAGAGGAGACACACAGTTAGTGATGCTTAGTGGTGGCATATAGATACAGTAGATGGAGAGAGAGGAGAGACACTCAGAGCATCATGGGGCCCCAGCAGCCCAGGCCTATAGCAGCATAACTAAGGGAAGGCTCAGGGTCACTGTACTAAACACTAAATCAGACAAAGTCTGAGAATTCACTTAAAAATTCTGAATAAGGAGCAGGTGGACAGTAAACAATAACAAACAGAACTGGTTTTTGAGTTTTCCAGTTTGGGTGTGAGACTTGGGATGAGGCTTTCAAACAAGTTATAACTATGTTTAGGTCCAGGGCTAATTAATGGGCTTGAGTGGAAGATGGCTGCCACACCTCCACCTCGGCCTGTGACAGTTACTGTGACTAGGTGGGGTGGATTCATTTAGGCTGACATGTTCTTCCTGCTGTAACCAGGTTTCAATAAGACACAATAAATCTATGTGATATTTCATTCTATAAGAGGAGTAGTCTTAATTTTAATTAGGTTCTTATGAATAACTCCTATTGAGCTGATTTTTGATTTATATAATTTAGGTGGTCGTGGGGCAGACAGTCTCTATGGGGTACTGGGAGTGTTGGGTGCAGAGACATAGAGAGGCGTGTAAGACTGACCCTGTGTTCTGGTCTCAACTCTGGGTTGTCATAATTCAGGTTGTAAAATAAACTAGTCCATGTTTCTAGATAAGAGAGCTGCACCATCCAAAGTGGGATGGATGCCGACTCTGCATTTCCTCAAAATGTTTTCCAGTTGTCTATGAAGCCCACATCGTTTTCTGGACACCACCTGTCGTCACTGGTCAGACTGGGAATGGGTCCAGAGAAAACTGACATTGTTTTAGTGAAGTTACACACCGACTCAACATTAATTTTAGTGACCTCAGACTGGCTACAGATAGGACTCGATGTCGTCCGCTCTGGCTGCAGGAATACATCTGACTATGACCGCAGGTGTCTCTAACTTCACAGTAAAGACTATGGAGTCGCCAATTACCAGAGTTGTCTTCTCAAACAGGCAGGCAGGCAATGCACCGTAGGTATTTGTTTATAGCTACGGCACCTCTTTCCCACACTCCCCATCACACTGGACTGTTGACCCCAAATACTTAAGCTCCTGCACCTTCTTGACCTCAGCCCCCTGTAACCTCACTGTTCCACTTCCCTCCCTCTCGTTCATACACATGTATTCTGTCTTAGCACGACTGACTTTCATTCCTCTTCTTTCCAGAGCAGACCTCCACCTTTCCAGGTGTTCCTCCACCTGCTCTCTGCTCTCACTACAGATCACAATGTCATCCGCAAACATCATTGTCCACGGAGATTCCTGTCTGACCTCATCTGTCAACCTGTCCATCACCATAGCAAACAAGAAGGGACTCAAAGCCGATCCTTGATGTAGCCCCACCTCCACCTTGAACTCCTCTGTCTGACCTACAGCACATCTCACTACTGTCGTACTCCTCTCATACATATCCTGAACTACTCTGACGTACTTCTCTGCCACTCCTGACATCCTCATACAGTACCATAGCTCCTCTCTCGGCACTCTGTCGTACGCTTTCTCTAAATC